CAGCTCCCAAGCGTGGGCTCCTTCACCACGAGCCGGAGAAACCTCTGGCAGGTGGCCAGCAGCTACAGGGTCTGTCCCCCGGACTCCAAGCACCTGGAGACCTAGTTCTGGGACCTCAGGGGCCGCGTCAATCACTCCCCCCGGTGTGTCGCTGTTGGGCTGCTCACTAGGGATTTTACAAAGACCCCCCAGACCCCGCCCGTGCCATGAAAGGGCCTAACCGGGTCTTGGTCAGAATTTCCTTCTGTTTGATGTGTTCAATGGCTGCCCGGGCCTTGTCTTCCAAGGTGTTCCCAAACTCCTTCAGTTTTTCCGGTAAATTCTCAAATGCGCTGGACAAGTCAGGGGTTGCCTGGGCGGGGGCGGGGCCTGCAGCGAGAGGGTTGCAAGCAAACCTGTTAGCATGGGGGAGGGTTTCCGGGGTGACCCACCGGACTCGGGGGCGCATTCACCGCGCGGTCCATCTCCACTATCTATGCTCCATCCCCTTCTGGGAAGATCAGCCAATCCCGGGGAGGAGACGGGCTACGTCATCGGTAGCTAGGGCTCTTCTGGGCAGACTTGCCTCCCGCAGTACCACCTTGACAGACTCGTAAGCCATCTGGCAGGTGGGGTGCGACCATCAGAGGGGGGTAGTGGAGCCAGTCCAAGAAAGGGACCTCAGAGCTGCCGCGAGGATCCTCTAAGCCTCGAGGTCCCCGGGCCCACGACCAGCCCCACACGTGCAAGCCCCTTTCTTACCTTCCAGAGCCATGGCCAGGACCACAATCAGGACAGGAAGTGAGATGAGGAGCCTCATGGTGGCTGCAGGGGCACCCTGGAGGCAGACGGGGGTGTGGGGTGTGGAGGGAACATCACTAGCACCCCCCGGCCCCCGCCATGACCCCACCACACCAATCCCGTGGCTGTAGGAGCTGGGGAGCAGTTTCCCACGCACCAACCTGGATCTAAGGATCTCTTGGGAATAGCGCAGGGTGGGACGGTCCCGCACAGGGGTTTAACAGGTTGGGTTGGGGCGGGGGCGGAGCAGGCTCATCGCCCTCCCCCTGAGCCTCCCCCTCGCCTCTGTGACCACCTACTTTGTTTTTTTGGACATAGGATCTTTGGCTGGCCTGGGACTTGTGATTCGGCTGCCTCTGCCTCTCTAGCGAGTGTTGCGATTACAGGCATGCGCGACCACAGTTGGCCCAGCTTCTGCCATACTGTTGGGTATTGGGAGCCAGGCCCCACCCAGGCCTCTCGTTTAGGCCTAAGACTTGTCACTGGTTAGCACCCTCTCTCGCACTCAGGGAAGCATTGGTCTCACCTGCCCTCTGAGGCAGTCCCGCCTTCGGGGGTCTTAGAAACAACTCCTTCCACACTCCCTAATCTCACCCCCAGCCCAAACTGCATCCTCAGGTTAGTTCTGCTCTGGCCTTTTTTCCTTGTCCATGATTCTCAACTTAGGATCTCTGTGGGATGCTGGGGGCCTGCTTCTGCCTCCCCTCGCCTCCAAATGCCTTTGTGTCTGGGCTCCCCAAGCCCCCCCTTTTTTTTTTGGTTTTACAAGACAGGGTTTCTCTGCATTGTTTTGGAGGCTGTCTGGGAACTTGCTGTGTAGACCAGGCTGGCCTCGAACTCACAGAGATCCACCTGCCTTTGCCTCCCTAGTGCTGGGATTAAAGGCGTGCGGCACCAATGCCCGGCCCCCAAGTCCCCTTTGATGCCCTCTGGGGTCCTTGATTTGTCACCCCCTAACCTCCCTTCTTTATAGGGGTTGCCTCTTCAGCAAAACTGCAGAGCCTCTCAGCTTGCAAAGATGCACAGTGCCCCCCAACTGGCACAGTCCCCACCCCCTGTCCCCAAGACACTATTAGCCTTGTTGGACTTCCCAGACCCCCTCCTGGCTTCAAACCTGCCTGCCCGCCCCCTCCTTCCACCACATCCTTTCTCGGAGGCTGGAGTCCAAGGCCTTTCCCTCCCCCAGAGCTGTCGTTGACCGCCAGTGACCCCCTGGCAGCTGGTGGCTCTGGGCCCCAGACTCTAGGTTGGCTGGCTCGTTGCCCCTGAAACCCACGTGTCAGTTCTCGGGAGGGGGCACAACGGGGGTTGGGGGATGGTTGTGAAAGGGGTTGCAACATCTCTGGGGCGGGCTCACAGCTTCCAGTCCCTGCGGTGGCCAGGCCTGCCCTTCTTGTTTCCTGAAGCGAACGCAGCTCAGCCCTGAGACACCCATCTGAATAATGTAACAGATTCGCCCCTGCTTCCACGCCCTGCTTCCAATTTCATCTTCTTCTAAGTGACAGGGGCTCCTGTGCCACAGGTGGGGTCATTAAACTACTAGTCATCAACTCTGAGATTTCTCTTGTTGTTTGTTTGTCTTTTGAGACAGGGTTTTGCTTCACAACCCTACTGTCCTGGTGCACAATTGTGTAGACCAGGCTGGCCTTGAACTCACAGAGATCTGCCTGCCTCTGCCTCCAGAGTGCTGTTGGGATTAAAGGTGTGCACCACCACAGACCAGTTCAATGCTGATTCTTTCTTTTTTGGTTTTTCAAGACAAGGTTTCTCTGTATTGTTTTGGAGGCTGTCCTGGAACTCACTCTGTAGACCAGGCTGGCCTCGAACTCACAGAGATCTGCCTGCCTCTGCCTCCTGAGTGCTAGGATTAAAGGCGTGTGCCCAGCCTCAATGCTGATTCTTACACTTCAAGATGACTCTCGGATTTTTAGCAGGGTCAGCCCAGCGCTCCATGGTTTCCCTTACAAACCTTTCTGTAGTGTCTTTATATGGTCCTGCCCCACCCCTGGGTCTGACCAGGGCGATGGGGAGGTGGGGCTCGTGTCAGTTGCTGACAACTCTCTGCTCTCGGTAGTACATTCCTGTAATCTCATCACTTGGAAGGCAGGGGCAGGAAGATAAAGACTTCAAGGATAATATTGGTTATCTAGTGAGTTTGTGGCCAGCCTGGGCTACCTGAGATCTTGATACAAAAAGGGGTGAGGGGGGTGTGACTCAGTTGGTGGAACACTTTCCTAGCATGAGGGGAAGCCTAGATGCTATCAGTAGCACCGCATACGACTGGGGACACATGTCTATTCAGCACCTAGGCAATCGGAGGCAGGAAAATCAGGGGTTCAAGATCAGCCTTGGCTACACAGAGAACACCTAGAGGCCTCCCGTTTCAAACAAATAAAAGCAACATCTCTTTGTAGAACTCAAAATTAAGCTCTCAGCTAGGTCTGGTGGCACAAACCTGTAATTCCAGCATTTCCAGCATTTGGGACTTAGGCAGGAGGACTCAGCATTCAAGGCTAACTTGGTTCAAATAACATCAAAACAATTCACATCTTTAGTGGGAGGCGTGTGCGCCTGACATGGTCTCCGGAGGTTTCGAGAGTGTGTTTCTAGCCCATGGACATGAAGTGTGACTGCCCTGAGTCCTGCCACTCAGCCACTGACCCTTCTTCTCATTGGGTCCCGTGAATCATCCTGGGAGTGGTGCCCGCCTCCAGATAATGCGGAGTTGGGTGCCAGGAAAAGCTTCAGGCTCAGGGTGTGCCAGAGGCAGCGGGGGACCGAAGCCCTGGTCTGACCCAAGAGACAGACAGCTCGCAGGCCCTGGCCTGTCCCTGGTGGTGGGAGCCCTGCTGGATTCCTGAGAACTGAGGGGGTGGAGGGAAAGCCAGCCAGGGGCTCTCCAGCTCCTGCCCCGACCCCTGCAGGTGCCAGCTCCCAATAGGAACAGATGCCCATAGGGAGGGGCATGGAGAAACGTCTTTGTGTCCCCAGTTTAAATCACCCCCCCCCCATCGGCGAAAGGCACAGGCGAGGAGAAAAGGTTGGTTTGGGGCTGCCTGAAGCCTGACCCAGAGGCAGCAAAGACCTAGCTACCCTCAGAGTAAAGGCCCAGGCTGCCAGAGGGAACAACCGAAGACCGGAGCAAAAGAAACTGCGGGAGGGCGAGATAACAGTCTCAGGAAAACAGGAAGCCAGAAAAGGAAGCCTAAGAGGGAACAGAGGGGAGACGCAGCAGAGAGGGAATCAGATAAGACTATGGGGCGGGGGAGGGACCAGCTGGGACTCCAGTAAACACAGCCTGGCAGCCCCTGGTCTCCCACACGTGGGCTCTCAGCGTCACTGTGTAGCAGGTGTTGAAGTTGGGGAAAGTAGCCCAGCAAAGATAGGGTGTTGCACACCTATTTTCTTAGTCCCCGCGGCGGCCGAGGACAGTTTCAAATATGCGAGGCCTGCCTGGGCCGGAGGTCAAGGAAACTCAGTTGAGATCCTGTCTCAGAATAAAAAGGCTGGGCCCGGCGTTGGTGGCCCACGCCTTTAATCCCAGCACTCGGGAGGCAGAGGCAGGAGGATCTCTGTGAGTTTGAGGCCAGCTCTGGTCTACAGAGCGAGTTCCAGGACAGTCAGGACTACACAGAGAAACCCTGTCTCGAGAGAGAAAAAAAAAAAAAAAAAAAAAAAGGGTGGTAATGTGAACAAGTAGAAGAGCCCCTGCCTGGAATCCCATATGAGGGGCTGGGGGTGTGGCTCAAAGGTAGAGCCCAGAGCCCGTGCTCAGAATCCCCCAGTGAGGGGCTGGGGTGTGGCTCAGTGGTAGAGCCCCTGCCTAGAATTCCCCAGTGAGGGGCTGGGGTGTGGCTCAGTGGTAGAGCCCCTGCCTAGAATCCCCCAGTGAGGGGCTGGGGTGTGGCTCTGTGGTAGAGCCCCTGCCTAGAATCCCCCAGTGAGGGGCTGGGGTGTGGCTCAGTGGTGGAGCCCCTGCCTAGAATCCCCCAGTGAGGAGCTAGGAGTGTGGCTTAGTGGTAGAGCACCAGCCCTTCAAGTTGCTAGGTCCTAGGCTTACTCTCCATTGCTGTAGAACCTAACAAACCAAATGAGAGCTGAGTCAAAAGCACACAGCTTCCCCCTCTCCTGCAGGCAGGACAGTGTATGTATGACCAGTGTGATATAGAGACGATAATCTGAGACGGAAACTGTGAGGAATCACTCAGAGACCCAACAGGTGCTTGGAGAATCTTTATTAAGCCAGGGCCACCAGAGGGCCAGAGTGGTACTGGGGACAGGGCCACCTGCTGGCCATGGGTGTCGCCGCAGCGGGCGGGAGAGGGATACTCATTGACTCTCCTGTGGCACTGGGGAGGCAGGGATGGGGTTGGTAGCCACGGAGGCCTGAATCTTCTCCACCAGGTTTGCCCACTGGCGCTGCATGTCTTCCACCAGGGGCTCGAACCAGCCCTTGAGGCGGGCCTGGAAGATCTCAGCCTGCAGGCGCATCTGCTGGGCCTGCTCCTCCACCTTGGCGCGCACCTCCTCCATCTGCTCGCGCACCTCCTCCAGGCGGTCCCGGGCCTGGTTGCCCACCTCCTCTAGCCGCCCTCGGATGCGGTCACCCAAAGCCTGGGCGCGCTCGCGCAGAGGCTGGGCAGCCCCGGCGCCTAGGCTGGCTGTGCGCTGGCGACCCTGCTCCACCAACGGCCCCAGGCGCTCCCGGATGGCGCCCACGCCACGCTCCGCGCCCTCGTGTGCCCCGGCCTTGTATACCGCCAGGCGCTTCTGCAGATCCTCGGCATCCCGCATCAGGCGCTTGCGCAGCTTGCGCAGGTGCGTGGAGAAGCGCGCTCGCAGCTCCTCGGTGCTCTGGCCCAGCATGGTCTGCACCTCGTTGCGGTACTGCCCCAGTCGGCTGCGCAGGTCCTCCATGTCCGCCCCGAGCCGGGCCTGTGCTGCCTGCACCTCTTTGGACAGCCTGGCCCGTGTCTCCTCCGCCATTGGGCCCAGCTGCTCCTCCAGCTCCTTTTTGTAAGCCTTGACTTCTGTCATGGTGTCCTCCATCAGGACCCTGCAGGCCCAGAGGAAACACACAAGGGAGATGAGGACCCGGATGGAAGGACCCAAAAGGGAGGGGTGTGGCGGCCACTCGCTTGCGTTCCCAGAAGTTGAGAAGCTGAAGCAGAATTGCAGAGCGGTCGACGCCAGCTTTGAGAGTTCAAGGCCAGCCTGGGGGTAGGTGCCCAGAGAGTCGGAGACATTCCACCACCCCCCAGGCCTGGATGTTCAGGGAGTGCAGAGTGTGAAGGGACAGGGGTTCGGCACTCACGTCAGTTCCTGGGTGACTTGTGACGTCTGCAGTTCTTCCTGGACCTGGTCAGACAGTGTCTGCACCCAACGCAGGTAATCCCAGAAGCGGCTCATGGCCAGCTCCCAGGGTTTGCTGCTCTGCCATGCCAGCTGCTCGTTTACCTCGGGCTCGAGCTCTCCCTCGGCCAGGCATCCTGTGCAGAGTAAGTTCAAGGCTGGGTCAGGACCTACAATGCTCTTGGGTCTCTTTGGAGCGACAGTGGGTCCGCAGGGGTTGGAGTCTCTTCCGTTACTACAAGCATGTACTGCCTTGGTATCCCATGTGATACAGAGCAGAGACCAGGCAGGCATGGAATTAGAAAAACCTACCTTTCTTCTAAAAACAACTATATATATATATACATATATATATGTATATATATTATATTAATCATATGTTAACATTTAAGTTGTGTGTGCGCCCTTGGAGGTCAGAAGACAACTAGATGGAATCAGCTTTCTGCTTCCTTCCGCCATATTGGTCCTGAGGACGCCAGGTCTTTAGGCTTGGTGGGTAGCACCTTTAACCCTGAGCTAATCTTCTCCTTTTATAGACAGGGGAAATCAAGGCCTAAAGAGTAAATAAAACAACTGCTCCGGGGTTTTGAGTCTCAGAGGGGCCTCAGAACTGCCTCTGCCCCACCAGCGGGCAGCAGAAAGGCTAGGAAGGGTTCCAGAGAGGAGCTGCGGGAGAAGCCACCAGAGCAAGCCCTTGTCCCCATACCTGCCAGCAAAGTGACCACCAGCACGGCCCACAGAGCCTTCATCGTCCTGATTCTGAGCGGCCAGTCTGGGGGAGGGAGAAATCGTCTTTGAACAGATAGGGGGTACTCCGCCCACCCAGAGAGCCTCACCCTACCCCCCTTCTCAGATCGGAGACCCGTAGCCAATCACAAACATCTTCCCAAGAGAGCGCCCGAGCTTCCCAAAGGTCTAGTTACTCCCCCTCCTGGGTTCGCTATCTGCATCCCTGGGGCGAATCCGCTGCCAAAAATCCCAGCTCCCGCTCCCAGGGTCCAAATTCCACTTCACCAAGCCTCAGCGGGTGCATTTCTTTCTGCCTTCCCGCTAAGCCTTGCTTTCCATTTTGGTGCTAATTTAACGGGCTTTTAATCGTTCTCCAACCCAGCGAGGTGGTTCCATCACAGAACCCCAGAACTCAGGACGCTGAGGCTTGAGGATAGTCAGTTTGAGACCAGCCCGGGTTACTTGGGGCCTGTGATGGAAACCAATCAGTAGGTGTGTTTATAAAAACACAGCCTGAGGCTCATTCTCGATTCTTTCACTAAGGGATGGTCCCACCTAGTTGTGCTAGGATGCTACACACCTTATTCCCGGAGGTGGCCCCTCCGATCTGTCCTGACTCTGTCTGGCAATGGCTAGTCACCTTGTGTCCTTAGTTTGTCCCCAAGTGCCTCTATCGTGCTTCCTGCCTTTCCAATTCATGCCCCTGTTTCCTGGACGCCAGGGGATCCCAAGGTCCCCAGCCCGTATCTTCCCAAGGTCCCTGGCTGAGTCCCCAGCGCGTGGCTTACCAGCGTCTTCAGAAACAAGTCCTTAGCCTCCGGGGGCTGAGCAGGGCGCTGGATCCCAGACTTGTCCAATTATAGGGCTCCCCCTATCCCGCCCCCTCCTCAGGGCTGGGGCGGGTTGAGCCAGCCCCCTGTCACGAGGTGGGTTGTTCTCTCTCCCCCTTCACAGCAGGGCAGAGGAAAGAGGTGGAGTTTGGAGGCCTTGTGACCCCCATCCCCCAACAAGGGAGCTGACACCATCCAATAATCCAGGCATCTTTCTCCATAGAGGGGTGCTGGATCCCACAGTTCTCCCCCCTTTTCTCTGTGGGGAAGAGGGTTGAAGCATAAACGGAAATGGGGGACCGTGGCTGTGTCTGTTAAGAGGCTCGGCTTCTGGGGTGAGTTTTAACCTTGTGCCCCCCCCCCCCGTTCATTCCTTGGATACAAACGGTGAACTCTCCCCATCCCTGGACTTGGGAAACTCAGTTCTTTTTAGGAGCTGTTTGCTTGGAGGTTTGAAGCGAGAAACACCGCAAGGCAGGCCCTGGGAGCCCAAATGCCCAGTTGCCAGACGAGGCTTTGGGAGAGGGAACTCCCCTCCCAGAGCACATTTGTGTTTTTGTTTTGTTTGCTTGTTTTGTTTTTTTGGGACAGGATCTCTAGGCTGGCCTCAGTCGGTCTTCTGCCTCCACACAGCAAGCTGGGATTTGCAGGTGTGTCACTGCGTGTGCACCTGGCTTTCCCAAGCAGTTTCTTTGCCCATAAAATCGCAAGAGCAGTTATCTTTTTGTTTTTTTTTTGGTGATGCGTGCCTGTAGTCCCAGCCACTTGGGAAGCTGAGGCCGGTAGTCAGGGTGAGTTTAAGCAACAGAACAAAGCCCCGTGCTCACAACAGTGGGGAAACAGCTGCACCTGGGCTGCCTCAGGTAGGGCCAAGGGCTCCCACTCTTGCTAGAGGCCCTGCCAGGAACACTGCGGTCTCCTGTTCACAGCTGTAGCCCAGATAGGGTGGCCGTAGGAGGGGAAGCTGGACTGAGCAGGAACATGATTCTACAGGATGGCAAGAGGCACCTTATTCCAAGAAGGGTGCAGGGTGCCTGGCCAGGCCCAGGCCTGTTGGCTTTGGCTTCAGAGAGCACTGGCAAGTGGGTGTGGTGAGATTTCTGTGGGTTATTAAGGGTCATCGGCCAGCTAACAGCCCCAGACCGCACACTTCATGCTGTCTACAGGGACATCAACCAGTTTATCTGAGTCTTTGTATTGCAAAATTCAACATTTCCAGCAGCGCACCACTGAGAACGCCCGTGGGCCCAGGCAGGATCCAGTTTGAGGCAGTTACTACGCGCCCCCCTCCCCAGCAGGGGCTGGAATGTAGCCCCGTAGAAAAGCACCTGCCTGACACGTGAGGCCCCTTTATGTCTTCAACAGCAGAAAATAAACTGAACGTTCCCTTTGTTTCGGTCTGGGAAGGTCCAAGGGCCCCTTCCTTCCCGAGAGCTACTTTCTGTATTGTGCTGAGTTTCTTCCAGGAACTTGGTTTCTTCCTGAAGTTCCCGAGACCTCTGACCTTCCCACCCGGAGAAAGTCACAAGCAAGCCACCACCTCAGCCCTTTGTGGATCAGGGAGGCTGTGGAGCCCCGCTTCCCTGCCCCCATCCTGTTTGCAGAGACAAAGTCCGCTGCCACCTCTCAGGGCCCGGCGGCCCCGGGGCGAGTGACCTGGAGCCACCCTCCCAGTGAGGCCAGCCTGTGATGTCCCCGCCAGTCCAGGGTATGACGCTGGCCAGGCCTTCCATGCCCCGCCACGGTGCAACCACGACCCTGGGCGCCCCCTGCTGGTGGCCGTGCTCAGCAAGAGGAGAAAATCAAAGCCTCAGATACGTTTTTTCCTTGTGTATTTTTTGAAGTTTTTTCTGTAAAATGTCCCGTTCTTCCATAACTTATAAACATGATTTCTATGGAGGGGTGGAGGGGAAAGTGACGGGCGGCCGGGCGCGACTCTGCCGCCCTCGGGAGGACAAGGACGTCACGTCTTTTGTCCCTGAGCCTGTCCAGCCACCTCTACCAGGGCGCCCTTCAAATTCCAGAACTCCCTCCGGGACCCCAGGGCCCGGGCGGGCACTGTCCCCTGGCGCTGGGGATCTTCGGGCGTGAGGTGGGTCCCCTCCTTCCCGCTGCCCTGACCCCAGGAGGGAGGGAGAGGAGGGGAGGGCGGCCGGCCCAGTGTGGTCTGCAGAGGAGGGCTTGAGGGCTCAGCCGATGGTGAGTCCAAAGCCGCACAGGAACTTATTCTTGCGGTGGTTCAGGAAGGCGCAGAGGGACAGTGTCAGGGGCAGGGGAGGCAGCTTCTTCTCGAGTGTGGCGCCCACGATCCAGTTACTGTTCACAGAGCCTGTGGGCCAAGAGCGGGGTTGGTGCACCTGGTCACCTCTATGGGTAGCCACGCCCTGTCACATGGCAGGCAGCTACTGCACAGGCGCACGCCTCCCCAGCCCTGATTTCTGGGAATGGTCGAGCTCCTGAATACACAGGTGCATGACAACCTTAGGGGCCGGTGCCAGCTCAGCCAGAGTGAACGGAGTCGGTTGGTCTCCAACTGCATAGTCCTGGGCATAAGGGGCGGGCCAGTAAATGAGTTCCCGCCTTCCAGCTCCTGCTTTGACCCCTCAGTGGCAGGAGGGGGCCTGGGACTCCTAAGCCACAATAAACTCTTCCCTCCCAGTTGCTCATGTCCTGTTTCGTCACCGCAACAGAACTGCCAGAAGTAAGGCAAGAGTGAACGGGAGGGCGGGCCAGGGGCAACTGGCTCCTAACACCCCAGGACACTGTCGTACTCCTCACCCCCAGGGCCTCCACCCCCCCAGGCACGTGAGGCAGCCGTGGTCTTTTCCAGGAGGGAACCACGGCCGTCCTTACCTTTGAAGAGGAAGTTAGCCTTGGGCAGGTCCAGCTGGTACCCGAAGGAGGCACTGGTGTCCTGCATCCTGGTGCTGGCCTCGAACTCCACGCCCACCTGCAGCTGTTGGCGGGCAGGGCGCACGCGTGAGCTGCCCAGTGGAGCTCCTAGGCACACACTAGCAGCCCGGGAAAGCCAGGCCCTTCCCCACTCACCTGGTCGCTGGCTTTGTGGTAGTACGTGGCGTGCATGCCCGCCTGGCCCAGCGTTACTGTTGCCAACCAGTTGTTCACTAGGAGAAGGGGTGAGGCTGGGTGTCAAGGGCGTCCGGAAACCCACAGCCTTCCTTCAGACCCCAGCCCCCTCCCTCGGACACGAGTGCGCCCAGGCTTACGTGTGTACTTCCCAGCTAGAGACATGACCGTGCCCTCTTCTCCAGGCCGCCGGTGGTAGACGAGCTCTCCCCCCAGGGCCAGACATGGCGTGATGCTCTGCAGATAGTGGGCCACAAGGATCCCTGCAGGAGAGGGTGGTCAGCCTCTGGGGATTCCCCCCCCCAACAAGTTTCCACCACTGAGGGACTCCCTTTGCCCTGCCTATGACTCTGTACATCAGCAAGAAGCAGGTTCCCTAAGCCAGCAGAGCGGTTCACTCCCAACGGGACTGCGTGTTTACCCCTTTAGTCCCAGTACTTGGGGGACAGGGAACTCCAGGCCAGCCAGGCACACAGTGAACTGTCTCCAAAAGAGACAGGGCTATGTGAGGACCAGCCTGTGCAGTGACTAAGCCCTCGTACCGAGACGTTCGAGGTGGGGCCCAGAGTCCAAGCTGGGGCCTGGATGCATTCTGAGAAGTGGGACCATGGCTAGGACAGAGGCAGGTACCATGGGCTCAGGAGTCAATGTGAGTGTCCCCTCAATGAGCAGGGGATCATCAGCTTTGGGACAGGGTCAACTCTAACCTGGAACACCTCTCCTCACCATTATTAAGCAATTGAGAGGAAATAGAGCCAGGATACTATGAGCGGCCACCTACAGACAACTTCAAGGCAGAAGCCCCTTCCCCACAGCTGTAGGAACTATTGGGAATGAGAACCAGCCAGGTGGTGGTGGCGCACGCCTTTAATCCCAGCACTCGAGAGGCAGAGGCAGGAGGATCTCTGTGAGTTCAAGGCCAGCCTGGTCTACAGAGCGAGTTCCAGGACAGCCTCCAAAACAATAAGGAGAAACCCTGTATCAGAAAAACATCCCCCCCAACACCTAACCCACCCCAAGTTGTGGTCTTTTAACAATCCCACAGCCTCTCCAACAGACCCCGCAGCACATATAGGGGCTGGGAGCTGTCACCAAATCATAAACCTGGCTCTGCTCTCTCCTGAGAACCTGCCATAGCTCCCTGGTACTCTGGGCAGAGCAGAGACCCTCACAAGCCCCAGCTCCAAACCAGCTTCGTACTCTCATGACACAGCCAGCCACGGAAGCTTTCCCTCAACCCCGCTGGGTAACCATCTACGGGGCGTGCCCCAGATCTGAGCCCCTTTCATGGCCCAGGACACCTGCTCAATCTGTCCTGCCCAGCCCTCTAACGGGCTGATTCCAACTCTGCATTACCCACCGTCCTGCTTCTTAGGGCTGGTGGCTGCTTTTATCTTTCCTCCTGTCAGGGTTCCAGCAGGTAGCCCAGGCTTGCCTGAACACATGGCCTGCTCAGTCTAACATAGCCAGATTACAGGTGTCGCCACAGTCCAGCTTTGGCCTGACTCCAACTTAGAAAGAGGCTTTCAGATTTACGTTACGTACACATGTGTCTCTGGGACACGCACACCTGGTGCGTAGGTCACAGGACACTTTGTGGAGCTGGTTTCCACCACAGCGAGTGCCTTCCCTGCTGAACCACCCTGTTCTTTCCCATTGCTGACTCTTGTGTAACCCTGGATAGCCTAGAACCTTCCAGGATCCTCCTGCCCGCCCCAGCCCCCCAAATGCTAGGTTTACAGGTGTGACCCACAAAGCTCAGACAGGCAGAGACAAAGGCCTTTCTATGGACTTGGGAAGCGCTGGGATTTGGGGGTCCTCGCTACCCGCTTTGGCTAGTGCGGTTGCTGGGGATGGAATGGAGGAACGCAGGGCTCTACATGCTGGGCAAACTTTCAGGTCTGCAGGCAGGTGCTCTGCCGTTGAGCCTCGCCTCAGGCCTCCTCCGTTTCTGCAGTGCTACAGATAAACACAGAGCCCATTGTATCAAGTCTGTGCAGTGACCCGAGCCCCACTTAAGTCCTGATACTTGGCCTCTATTCTGGGTTGCCACGAGGCCCTACCATGCGTGCATGTACTAGTCCCTGCTGTAGAAGTCCCATGAGGACAGGACTACAGCAGTAGTTCCCAATGAGGTCTTTCTGCAACGTAAGAAGGTATTTATGATAGGCATAACTTGGAGCACCTGTCACCCATTCAAGAACAGTCTGGTCAGCGTCACATCCTGAGGACAAAAATCCAGAAGCTTTGAAAGAGCTTCCAGTGGGGACACAGCCCAGAGGTAGAACCCCTGCCTAGAACGCCCCAGCAAGGGCTTGGAGCTGCCGTACGGGTTAGAGAACCTGCCTCGCATCCGGAGGCCTTGGCTTCCATCTTTAGCAGCAGATACATAAACAAGTAACTCGAAGCCTGGCACATCAGAAGTAATCAACAAAAGTCACCCTCTTCAAGCAAATGGATGAGCCTAAGTAGTCCTAAGTGACTAGAACCACCCAACAGGGTTAGTAAGAACCAAGGTAAAAGTAGGCCTCAGGAAGGCAGGCAGTGTCCCTGTGGAGGAAGGCTGGATTTAGTAAGGTCACACCAGGTCCCAATCTGATCAAAGCTGACAGCTGTTTTTTTGGAGCCAGGGTTTCTCTGAGTAGCCCTGGCTGTCCTGGAGATCAGGGAGATCTGCCCCCCCTCCCCCAGTGCTGGGATTAAAGCGTGTGGCACTAGGACTGTTCCACTGACAGCATGTCATTCTGAGATGCTCAGGTGGGATGCCCGGAGGGCAGGCAGCTGTGTTCCAGCCTGACCTTCCCATTCCTCAAGTGCCAGGAAACGACCTTTTCCCTTACAAGGTCACCCTCCTCTTTTAGCTTCTTGGAGAAGCTGTCTAGGGCACTCCAGTAAAAATGAGCCCATGTCAGAAGCCATCATAGCCGGGCCTGTCAGATGGTCCAGAAGGCCAGAGCCTCCTGGTTACCACCCTGGTTCTGCAGCGGGAGGACGATCAGCTCCTCACATAGTGACGTCCACCTGCGCCCATGGCATGTGCTCACAAGAAGAGAGAGCAGTCCTTTGACTCACCCAACAGTAACAAGTGCATCGCAGGAGTGGGGGTAAAGGACTCAATTGCCAGGAGGAGTGGCCACTCAGGAGACAGGCAGCCAGAGCTCTGCTGAATTCCAGGCCAGCCCCCAAGAACAAAAACAGGTTTTTATGGTGCTGGGACCAGAACCAGAGACCTTGCAAGCCCTCTTATCACCAAGCTATGCCGTGAACACCTCACTGCTGGGTCTAGGCAGGGGTTAAGCTTCCCTCCTCTATGTGCCGGGACGGACTCAGTTCTGTTCACTATCTCTGAGAGTATTTCCACCTCCTTGTGCCCAGGGCGTGCCTGACCTGACAGCGCCAGTGGCACACCAAGCCGCGCCCGTGTCACTAGGGTCCACACGACTGAGCAGACAGCAGCAGTCCAGGGCTGGAAGACACCCCCACCACCACGGTCACTGCCTGGTGACAGACTGCTTTGCTCCATGAAGACAGAACGAGGATGTGTATCAGTGCGCTACATGCCTCCCCAGATCAATCATTTCTGTTTTCACTATGTACACAGGGGTGGGCCTTTGAGCGAGAACACGCCCACAGTCTGAGGCACCTCAACACTTGCACCCCACCTGGTGGTGCAGTATGGAGAGGCCCAAGAGGCTTGCCCTGGCTTGAGGAAATGTCACCGAGGCAGGCCACTTCCAGTGGTCTCTCTGCTTCCGGCTTCTGTCCTGTCTCACTGGTATGACAAACCCTCTGGATCTGTGAGCCCCAATACATCCAACCTCCCCCGGAAGGTGCTTCAGTCCCGGCGTGTCTATCACAGCAACAGAAAGCGAACACACCAGGCTGGCCTTCATCCACACCAATCGTCCCCAGTGTCTGAGTATAGGTTTGGATCACCACACCCCATGTTTTTTGGTTTTTGGAGACAGGGTTTCTCTGTATTGCTTTGGAGGCTGTCCTGGAACTCACTCTGTAGACCAGGCTGGCCTCGAACTCACAGAGATCCACCTGCCTCTGCATCCAAATGCCAGGATTAAAGGTGTGCCACCACCGTCGGCCTCACACTCACTTTTTTTTGTTTCAAAGACAGTCTCACTATGAGCCCAGGCTAGGCCATGACTCAGTGCTTAAAAGCATTAGGAGCTCTTCCAGAGGACCCAGATCTATGCCCAGCACCCATGAGGTCATTTGCAGTGGTCTGTAATTCCAGCTCAAGGGACTGGACACTCTCTTCTGGCCTCTTAGGGCGACAGGCACGTTTCAAGTGCATAGACACACATGCAGCAAAGTAAAAACAACAAAAACAAAAAACATACTCTCTCCCCAAAGGGTTCCAGCCTGATCTTTGCTCCTCTCCGGTCCTAGGATTGTAGGTGTGACCACACCTGGCCTTTTGTTTTGCTTTTTATTCTTTCTTTTTTTGAGGCAGGGAATCATAGCTCAGGCTGCCAAAAACTCATGACTGCCCTGCCTTAGCCTTCCACGTGCTGGGATCACAAGCTTGTCTGAGGGTCTCAAGTAGTTTCTACCCT